ATTAAGACATTTAAAAATTGATGACATCCTATAAACCTAATTTTATCGTAGTGATAGATTTCAGAGTCTTCTTTCTCTAATTATAAGGTATTGCATGAATTTCTCATACTCTGGGTTATAATTAAACTTTACACCTATGTCGCAAGAATACCCAACTAATGTGTATATATATATATATATACATATATATATATATATACATATATATATATATATATATATAACACTGATTTTAACTACAAACATTTTAATTCCTACAAATCATTGTCAATGCTTAGCTTAAAAACAATCAGTTATGATCAACACTTAGGTGCCGTTTACCTAAATGCATACTCAGTAAGCACTTACCTTTAGAAGTCAACACTATAATTTATTTTACCAGGTAAGATTGTAGTACATTAAAATAAACAAGGGTAAGATGGTAGTACATTAAAATGATATCGTATGCAACAATTTACCAGGTAAGCACTTACCCGGGTAAGAGTCAGTACCCTCACTTACCGAGTAAGACTCTCCATCTTTATCATTACTTTTACCGGATAATATTTTTTAACCCTTGTTATGTTCATCAAATAAGAAAATTTACCCGATAAACACTTATCAGGTAAGGGTTTAGTAAACGGCCGCTTAGATTAGGAAACAATCGATATATTTCTGGAACCAAATATTCATCAAACTAAGCAGATGATTACGATTGATTTGTAATATATAAAACATGTTTTATTTAAAATAGAATGACAATATCAACATCCTATAAAAATAAACCGTATCTGATATTCATCGTATTAAATCGACGGTTAAGATTAATTTATGTTTTTCTTAATTTTAAAACATGACATATGTCATATATCATTGTCCCACGAGATTTTTATTGATTAAAATGAAGGACCAAATCCGTTATAGAAATTGAAGCAGAGGGAAAGACCAAATATGTTGTAGAAATGAAAGTAGATGGACGGACCGAATCCGTTCTAAAAATATAAGTAGAGAGAGGGGAAACGGTACTCTAATTGAAGGTGTTATTAGACGATACCATATCCGTTATAAAAATTAAAACATACGGAAAATCCTACGTTAAGAATTCTTTTCAAGATTTATTTTTATTTTTATTTTTATTTTTTAATTTTAAAATATGAGATTTAAAAATGTGATGAAAATGACAAATGGCACACCCTCTTGGAATGCATCCCCATCCAATAATCATGGGAAATGAGACAATTGACACCCTCCTTACTCCTTTCCTCTTCAGGGAATTGGCAAGTGGAGTAGGCTCCACATGCACTTGCATTTAGTTTGAATTTTACACATTTATAAATTTATTATATATATATATATATATATATATATATATATATATATATATACATATTAGAAGAGTATTCACGCATCTCGATTTTAATGTTCTGTTTTATTATTTGTTTATTACACAACATGTTCTTAACAAAATGAAACAATTTCATCAATTATGAAATAAAATTGATAATGAAATTGCTTCACTTTCGGCTGATTACGTACACTTTTCCTAACAATCTGAAACGGTTTCACTTTCTTGATGAACCCATATCATCATGCATCCATGTCATTATGCACCATTTCATCATGCACCGATTTCTTCATGCACTCATTTCATAATCATTTTTACTTACTCCATGCACCCATTTTAACATGCATGAAACCGGTTTCATGAATATTTTTTTCTTTCTATTACTGATTTCATGGATTTCTTAGCCTAATAAATTACGATTTCAAGAATAATAGCAATAATAAACTTAGACACAATATACCAAAATTCAATTTCTAATATTATAATTTAATTAAATATTTAAATGTTATCATTTATAAAAGGGAAAATTACACCAAAATGGAACCAACTTTCATCTAATTCCTATTTTGGGGAAACAACTTTCAAAATCGTCATTTTGGGGAACTAACTTGCACCTTATTCCTATTTTGTGGAACCAACTTGTACATGATTCTTATTTTAGGGAACCAACTTTCAAAATCGTCATTTTGGGGAACCAACTTGCACCTGATTCCTATTTTGGGGAACCAACTTGCACCTGATTCCTATTTTGGGGAACCAACTTGCAAAATAATTATAGAAAAATAACAAAAATTCATTTTTTTTCCAAAAATTAATGCAATAAAATCTATTTTTCATTTCAAATCTCGTTTTTTTCTAATTCAGATATCAAATTGAACATTTGCAAAAAAAAAATCCAACTTATCACAATAAAAATTGTTTTTTACTAATGCAAAAAAAAAATCAATTTAATAATAAAAAATTAATTGATGCAATAAAAAATAAATATTAAATATTACATTCAAGATTTTTATATCTGACCAATTGCATCAATTAAATTTTTTTCTATTAAATTGATTTTTTTTGCATTAGTAAAAAATAATTTTTATTGTGATAATTTGGATTTTTTTTAAAATGTTCAATTTGATATCTGAATTAAAAAAACGAGATTTGAAATGAAAAATATATTTTATTGCATTAATTTTTGGAAAAAAATGAATTTTAGTTACTTTTCTATAATTAATTTGCAAGTTGGTTCCCCAAAATAGGAATCAGGTGCAAGTTGGGTCCCCAAAATGACGATTTTGAAAGTTGGTTCCCCAAAATAGGAATCARGTGCAAGTTGGTTCCCCAAAATGACGATTTTGAAAGTTGGTTCCCCAAAATAGGAATCAGGTGCAAGTTGGGTCCCCAAAATGACGATTTTGAAAGTTGGTTCCCCAAAATAGGAATCAGGTGCAAGTTGGGTCCCCAAAATGACGATTTTGAAAGTTGGTTCCCCAAAATAGGAATCAAGTGAAAGTTGGTTCCCCAAAATAGGAATTAGATGAAAGTTGGTTTCATTTTGGTGCAATTTTTCCTTTATAAAATTTTCTTTATTATGTTATCTTAATTAATATTTATTTATGACTTCCATATTTAATAGGAAACAAAGCAAATGACATATATACCCTTAATGATTAAATTTAATTAAAAAAATGAATTTTTCTATTGGTCGAAATTAGTTTACACGGTTTCTAAAAATTACATGGTTTTCATTTGAACATGTCTCTCTCTCTCTCTCTCTCTCTCTCTCTATATATATATATATATATATATATATAAATAATTGCACCACTAAATGTGATGCAGTTTATATGGTTTGTACCCAAGGCACTTTACACCTACAAATACAAGAATAAAATTTTATTATAAAATCAATGATAACATGACCGTGGTCCAAACAAATTAAAAGTTTAAATTAAATATAATTCCCAAATTCATATTACATAATTGAAAATAGTCTAAGAAAACTAGAAATATTACAAAATAATAAAAAGTAGTCTGAGAAAACTAAAAATACTACATAAATTAACCTAATTATTATATATAATATAAATTATATATACAATGTGTGGTTCCGTTTGAACCGTACTTTGATAATTAAAAACCACAAACCGCACCGCAAAATACGGTTTGGTAAAATGCAAATAGCAAAACCGCACCGCTGAAGTTCTAAACCGCGCTTTACGATGCGGTGTGGACAATTTGTGCGGTTTGATGGTTTGGATTAACACCCCTAGTTAGCCATACAAGAATCAGATACTTTTTTAGGTTTTGAACCTGGCACATTACGATTGACTCAAGCGAACCAAAAAATACCCGTTCATATTAATGTCCTTGAAAGCGGGTTCCATATGAGACACGTTGGATTTGTCTGTTATCAACTTTTTATCCGAATATTTGGTTAGTCGGGTTTTGTCCAAATATTTTCAAATGTTTGCAGAGATTCATTATAACTGCGTATTTCTCAAATGATCAGCGGCTTAGGCATATTTTTTAAAGGACATGTCAATTAGTGGGCTGAACGGTTTTTGGAGCTTTTACACAATGAGCAAAAATATACCTATAACAAAACTACAAGTACAATATACATACAACTGAATGGTCGTAATACGGACGTCCATACAGTACTGATCATGGCAGACAGAAGAGGATTGACAAAATTATGTTCCGAGAGTAGCAAATCATTGAGTTAAATGACCTCTAATGGATTTTCAATCAAAAGCATGACCTTTATAAAATATTAACTCAATAACTATTAGATAATTTGTCTGCAATGAAAGACCTGATCTGCAAGATATAGATCAAGCCAAAAGAGACTCAAATAACCCAATAACCTTTACAAGACCTGTGTCTCTGGTGCTAAAAGCTATGTTCTCTGATGTTAAAAGTTACCACCGTAATAACTTTGAAGAAACCCGAGAGAACACTAAATAACATGTGTTGTAGTGGTCTTTGAAGTCGAACCCACATGATGATGAAAGAAAGATGACAATAGTCATTGACAACTAGACACTAGTTTTTTGGTAACTGTGAGTGTCGAGACTAGCTTCTAACACACCTCAGGTAATCCCATGAGACACTGAAGACAACAACCAGAAAAATCCCAATGGCATTAAGGAGACTCGAACTGTTGAACTATGAAGAGGAGCCTCAAAGGCCTCTGTTTGGAGGTCTCATTGGTGTCTATTTATGGTACCCGTACATTGCAGCCAAGAAAATTTGATTTTGTGCAGACGAAGTCTTTTAATATGACACCTCTACCGCAAAGGCGTAGCCTTATCAAATAACAACCAAAATACTTGTACGTGGTTGCGCCCGGGAAGGATGTTTATAGATATACGTCAAGTCCAAAACAATGATTACAGAAGAAACATGTTATATTCTGGTCAAATATCATTTAACCACAAGGGTTGTGGCATAGTGGTTGAGGTCCTAGAGGATGTTGTGAAATATCCCATTTGCCCAAGGTTCGATTTCAGGCATACAAAACAATTGTGGCCACTGAGTTTATCAGGGCTGATTTCTTGTAGTCATAATTTGTCGGGATTAGTCCATGCATAGCCTGGGACACCATTACCAAAAAAAGAAGCAAACCAAACGAAACCAGGAAATCTCTTAGAAGTCGATGGTTCCTTGATCATATAAGACTGGATAAATCAATCGAGTTATATATATATACACCCGGATTCAACAATTTACACATTTATATGAGAAATCAATGGGGTTATGGACAGTTAGCATATAACTGCACATCGGAAACAACCACTTATGGATAAGGATTAAACGGATCAGAGGCAGCTCAGAAGCTCGGAGTTAGAAGGCAGCTCAGAAGCTCAGCTGCCTCTTGGACCCCGCTAGGGGCGTTGCCCCTAGGACTTCGCAACCGCCTTATGGAGGGAAGGATTTTGATTTGAAGAAAGGGGATAACTACTGGAGTTTGATTTAAAAAGAAGATAACTTAGAACCTGAGTGTCGATGGAAATGGCTTCCCTTTCTCCAATAAACCAGCTTCTTCAAAATTCTTGACAGTGTCAACTATACTCTCTTCCAATGGCCTATAATTCCATCCCAAATCCAACAATTTCTTTGAGTTCAGTAGCGCACGACCGCTTTTCTCGGTAAATCTGTCATTACACGGATTAAATTTATTATTACAAGTATTAAACACGACTTAGAACCTCGAATACAATATAAAGCTCGATGTATGTCAACATGGAGAGTTGATATCTTGCGACATATAGAAAAAAAAAGCACACTAAATAGAGCTGTTGTATATCCCAGAGGGTAGAGTGGGTATTTAACATGAGTAACCAAACCAATCCAAACAAACCCAATAGATTCCACCTCCAAAATAGGGTCAAGGAGTGAGATGTACGCAGACTTTTTCTAAACCCCAAAAGGTAGAGGGGGTATTTCCATGAAAACCCCTGGTTTCTGCAAATTTGTGACTGACAAGGAAAGAACCAACGCTAGCAACCAGGGGTGGACCTGTAAAGGCCCGAGCTGCTCCTATGCACCCGCTCAACCGATTTTTACAAGTAGAATTTTTTTTATAGTGTGAAAGGTGCAATCGCTAAACTTTGAGGGGTGCTCCAAGATATTAGAAAATACAGGGGAAAATCCACTAAAAAACCGAAAAAAATCCCTCGAAATCAACATGAATAAGTTATTAGCTTAACTTACATTTGGGGATAATTGTAGCCAGGAAACATGCTCTTCATTTTTGCTACAAATTCCCTTGTCCTATACGAGCATGCAGAGCATATATATCTCCCCTTGGATTCAGGATTTTCGAACACCAGTAAAATTGCCTCAGATAAGTCACGAACATCCACAAGTGGACGCTCACTGTTGTCTGTTCTGATCGCTTCAGTTCTACCTTCCTCTTAAAACAGATGGCAAATGACAAGTATACATCATTCCTTTCCATCCAAAAATGCACTCCATCCGTCCATAAATAAGTGTCCACATTTCTATTTTAATTTGTCTGAAAACAAGTGTCTACTTTCCAATTCTACCCTTAAGTACGAGATGGAGAAATTCATCACTCCCTCTATTGTGAAGGGCCGGCTTGTCATTTAGTTAATTAAAAAGTGTAGTAATTGCACATCTATAAAACGGTGTGCCGTTTCCATTGTGGACATTTATTTTGGGACGGACAGAGTATATATTTCATAGTTCTTGTCCTTGTAGTTCACTTGAACCTTACATTAAGCAATACAAAACAAAAACAAAGGTAATTGCTACAAAATTTGTGTATATTTTGAAGTTGAGAGTTAGTTCATTGCTAACCTTTCATGTAGCTCAAAAGAAGTAAGCTAGTAGAATTGATTGTGGACTGCAACATCGGTCCAATGACTAGGGCTGGACAAACTGTAATGACAGTGAGGTCATCTCGTTTTGCATATTCCAGAGCTTCAATCTCGGCTATTGTCTTGGATACAGCATACCATTGCTGAAATCCACATTGGAAATTGCCTTCTTACAATGTAAAATCTATGGTGTTGATATGGAAAAATTCGTATAGGGTATATAGTGGTGAGATATATATACTTCGATTGATTTGGCATATTCTATATCTGTCCAGCAGCTTTCATCCATTTCCTGGTTTGCGGGCCACTCTGGATTCAGTAAGACCGCAGATCCTGAAGACACGACCACGACCTTCTCCACTTTAGTCTTCAAACATGCATTTAATACGTTTTGTGTTCCTAATATAGCAGGATCTAGCAGTTCTACCTGTGAAGTTTTATTGGTTCATTGCCAAAACCAGAAAGATTAGTTAAAACACCAATCATCTTGTGTACCTCATTGATATCTTGTGGTCATTCTTATGCAACACATTAGAAATAACATTCATCATTTTCTACCTTTTTGTATGTTTTCAATACACTTTCCTTTACTTAATTATTTCCGTGCTTTGTTCACAATATGCTAGCACTTTACTCCTTCTACCTCTTTGCTCACACATTTGTACAAGCCGGGGGGGTCTTAATGGAAACAGCCTCTCTCCACTTTTGGGGTAGAGGTCAGTTCTACGTACATCTAACCCCCCCCCCCCTACTTTCTAGTGGGATTTAATGGGTCAGTTTGTTTTGGTTTGGTTTAGTACGTATGTGCTTCATTAACTTCAGAAGTCAACTAATTTCAAAAGTAGTCTTTAAAGTTGCTTAGCGAAATGTGTGCTAGCGTAAAAGAAAAGGGGTTACCTGGGGATTAGGTACATGTCTACCAGGAACAGGAGAGGCAATATGAAGAACCCCATTGCAGCCAGCAAAGGCAGCACACAGATCTTCATAGTCTAACAAGTCTGCCTTAAAGAGTTGCAACCTCTCTTCAGCATCCTCCAACTTCTTCAGATGACCATTCTTTTTCTCATCACCTTGAGATCAATTACTTTCCCACTTTAGAAAAAAAAAAACATGTACACAGAAACAAGGAGACCATCCAGCTACCAAATAATCGTCAAGGTTTGTGATACAAATTGGCTAGAATTTCTCAAAGATACTCCTCTAGTCGGATGATTGAATTGAACAGCAAAAGACAGAATGTAAAATACAGTGAACTGGCTTTCGAGAGGCCCAGACGCTCTCCCAGCCTTTAGCCCACAAAATAACAAAGAAATCAGATTCCCCCCCAGGCCTTCCCCTTTCTTATTTGGACTCCTTCACATAAGCTAAACAGAATCTCATGCCCAAAATAACCCTCCCCCTACTACCTCCAGAACCTTCAAGAATGACCTCTACCACTCATACCTCACTTGGAGAATATTGGGGCATAACAGTTTTTTAAAGGTTAAACTGAGGTGGATCATTAACAGAAATTTAGCCAAAATTGAAGGAAGAAACATATCAAATGATAAGATTATGAATTAAAACTAAGTCAAAGTTTCAAGGTTATGAAAAAGAACAAGAACAAGCACAAACAGATCATCAATAAAAAAAGTTAAAACATTCATTACAGTGAGATTAAGAATAAAAAGAAGTTGGTAAAAAACAATCTTAAGCTACAGAAAGCAAGGGTAAGAACAAAACTAAGTCAAATAGTGAGATTCTGAATTAAGAACCAAGTTTACCAAGGTGAAGTCAATAAGCAGTCAACAGAAAGGCTTCAGCCTCTTGGATTGGGTTCCCAAGTTTTTCTAAGCAAAAGTTTACTAGAAGCAGATTATTATATGAAAATTAAGAAGTTTTACTAGACTCTAGAGCAAAAATATGAACAAAAACCAACATAAATTGAAGTTTACTTGGGGAGAAAGAACATACATGGGTCCCTAACAGTTCCATGGACCATGTAACCTTTGGAAAGCAAAAGCTTCACAACCCATGAAGCAATATAACCTCCTGCTCCTGTTACACACACCCTCTTCATCTTTTTTTGTCCCAGTTTTCGATTTTCAACCAATACATAAAGCTGGATTTGTTTAAGGACTCCACATACATATACATACAAACCACACAAATATTGAATGGTATTTTGTCTTATTGCTTGTCGCTATCAAAGAAGAGGGGGGGGGAGGACATACATACAATATTAAAGTTCAGTGAATGGAATATGTTCACATGTCTAAATGAAAAAAGAAAAAAAAAAATGACCCAACACTTTTGACCAATCAATTGAGATAACGAAAGCACCATTCTGCCTTGTTTCTTTAGAAGTCAACTACAAACAAACAACTAACACATAATCACTTGCTTCAAGAGATCCCTCATATACTTGTTGAGATAAAGTTTCTAGAACTTTTGAATATTTATTCACTTTCCCTTTCTCTTTTTCTACACTCATCTGGATCTCCAAATTTGTCCCTAGGTGTGCATACATCCCATATCCTAGGCTTTACTTTTGATTGGGACATACTGAGTGTGTTTGGTTTAGTTTTCTGGATGAGGGGGCGAGGTGCTAACGCCAATTATGGTGTCAAGGGAGAGGAAGGATGTGCCATAAATCGAACATGCTTAAAGCAAGATCACTAGCATAGGGAAGATTTCCATCCTTTCCCGCCTTCACCATCGCCTCCACAGAACTATTATAAATAGAGTTCCTCAAACACTTCATAGAACCAATCGTTTTGAGCAGTGATATTAAATGTTTAATCTATCAGCCAGAAGAACATCCCTTGAGAAGTGCCATCTAGAACAAACTAGGTGGGTACAATGGTACATAATAGCAATAATGTAGAAACATGCTAAACATGTACACTTGGGAATAAGAGTCTCAGTGCCAAACAGTAATAGTCCCGAACCAACATCATTTGTAACATTTTCTTCTTGAGATTATAATTTTGAATTGAAATTCCTCCATGGCTGGTTACTCAATATGTTAAAACATTTGTTTTGTAATAATCAATTAATAAAAGAGTAATCTAATTATTTTTAAAATTGTTTATAATTTTTTTTATAATTCTATTATAAATAATGGAATTCAATTCCATTCCAAATCCTACAGACCAAACACACCAAAGATTCCAAATCCTTCCAAATCCAAATCCAAATCCCTCCAATTTCAAATCCTTCCACAAAATCCAAATCCCTCAAAACCATTCCATCAAACCAAACGCCCCCTTAGTGTATTTCATATACATTCATTGTTACCAAAGTTACCTAACACACATGATAATGAAAGAAAGATTCTTAATTGGATAGTTTTTTTTTGGATAAATGTCTTAATTAGATAGTTGTAAAAAGCCCCAGGGACTATAGTCAATGACAACTAGTTTCGATGTCTATGTGGTGTCAGTGCAAGGTCCCCCTGCATTGCAACCTGGAAAATATGATTTTGTGGGCAAAGCTTTTCAAAATGACAAAGATATGATCTCTACCGTGCCTGGCGTAGCCTTATGAAATAACAATAAAGAACATTGTACATGGATGTACCCGGTAAGAATGTTGTGGCTGTGCCGAGGAAGGATGTTTATAGATACATCTGAAGTCCAGAAGGATGATTACTGAAGAAAGATGTTAAGCTATGTGTTGATGCTGAACTTATTAAGATGTTACATAACTAATTGTACTAGTTGTGAAGAGAGGAGCTGTGTAACTAGTTCTGCACATGTTAAAGGCCACATTCTTACGATCAATCGAGTTCCACATTTTGTGATTCTCCCTTAATAATGTAACTCAGAGGTCAGTATTGTGCAAATAACCGTACCCTTGATGTTTAGTGCTTGCTGCTAATTCTTACACTACGATTCTAGGTTATGAGAAAGGTTCTTCTAAAAGAATATAGGAGATTTGAGCTGATAGCTGTCATTGGAGTTACTAATTATAGTATCAATGGCCGGCCCTGATGAAGTGACGGTGTGTTAGTTGTCTGTTTGTAGTTGGTACAAAGGTGCTTTCGTTGTCTCAACTGGTTCGTCAAAATTACAGATGCCTCATAAAATTGTTGAGCGAAATGCCATTGGAGGTGTACAGAGAGAAAAGGACATAAAAAGCCATAAAGGATGGAGAACCTGAAATGTAGCTTCAATGGATAGAACAGTCGAAGGTGAACCTGTACAAAATTAATAGGGCAAATTACAATAACAATTACACCAAGCATTATCGTCCACAAAGGAATCAGCCATATCAGACCGCATTATGCAAAATTCAAGCCAAACTGCAGAATCATATAAGATTATTCAAATCAAAAACTTAGTCCTTGACACAAAGAGAAATTTGAGTGCAATGAGCTTGAAGTAAACCCTTTATGCTTATTACCGAGACGATTCGGATTCTCAGACAAAGAATCATGAACTTTTAAGTGATCAATTTCAACTTTTTGGATATTTGATCCTCTCTACCGGAGAACCATACTTGTTCCGGCGACTGAAGAATTAGCCGGGAGGGGTTGTCGACAGAAAGGGGAGTGTAGAAGGTCCGAGCTTTTTGGGCTTGGGCCGGGTCTTTGAACCCGGTTTTCAATAAGGAAAAAAAATCTAACACTGTTTTTAGGCGATAATTGTTTGTTTATCTCTTAATAGTTTCACTAAAATGCAGTCTTTAAAATATTAAGAGATGAATTTTGTTTGACAAAAAAATAGTCTTCCAGTAAATGATTCTAAAATTTTTTGAATAATTTTGTATCATGGGTCTCTTTATAAACAATTATCAAATAATTATATTTTATTTTCTACTATATCATGAGAGCCTTTTAATCATTCTGACCTTATTCCGAGCCTACCTCTAAAATTTTGGTTTGACTAGGACCGCACTTTGAAAATAAAACCAAAATTGGTTGTATTTTTATATAATTTTGATCTTAATAAAAAATAGACAATATTTTTTATACTTTAATTTGTAATTGCATTTATAATATTAGTTATGTAAATCATAAAGATGGTGACTGATTGATTTAAGTTTGAGCTCTAAATATTAAAAATGTCTGGAGTTTCCAAGTTTAAATCCAAGAAGAAATAAAAATCCACTTATGGTCATGGAGATTCAAATACGATGACTCCGGGCTACCTGCAAAGCAGATGGTCCTGTGATTAGTCCGCTCGTATAGCTGGTTGGATATCCAGGTTAATAAAAATAGATATGATATTAGTTATGTATGAAATTAAAAAGTAAGAAGAAGATGTTGATGAATGAACCTACTTTTAGAAAACATGCTTTGATTTGTTATTTAAACTGTTTAATTCAAGTATTTATGTTATAATTTTTATATTGCTTTCGATAATTGAGAGATAGAGCTAAGCCTATACGTTATAGGGAATCAATGCTTGAGAAAGGAGGATCAAATGTGTACGAACAGAACGAACCCCAGATAGAGAAAGCTCGTCAAAGGATAGATGATTCAACCAATCATTGATTCCAGAAATATGTGTTGGAGGACCTTGAGCATGGGTAAGAATTTCAGACATGTAGTTCAGTTAGGTGGCGTTTATATTTTTAGAGGTGCTGAAGTTTAAAATCTGATTTCACTTTTGATTTTTAAGAGGTGGTGCTGAAATCTGAATCAGTTAGACTGTTTGTTTTTAAGTTTGAAGTCTAAAATATGAATCAGAATGGTCGAACCACAGGGACAAAATCAACACGGAAACTAGAGGGGAGATCCAGAAAATCAAAACAAAAACTGGAGGGAGATTGATATACCTGGAGGTCGATTGGTTTTCATCTTGATTTGGGTCGAGATCGATTCAGAGATCGACTGTTTTTCATCTTGATATGGGTCGAGATTGATTCAGAGATCGACTGGTTTTCATCTTGTGGGTCAAGATAGATTTAGAGGATGGAGATGTCTTTGAGAAAACTGGAGGCGTATGAATTTGGATGTGGGTGAATGGGAATAAGAGGAATTAAGGGTGAGGCTACCACTTTTTTTTCCCAGATGATTTTAAGAGTTAAGAGGGTCTGCATATAAGAAAAAAAAAAACAAATGGTCTGAGTTTAAAAGTGTCTGAACGAATAAGTGATAAGTGACCATTAAGAGGTAAAATTGGAAAAACAAACAAGGCCTTAGTAAACGAACGAGATGACTTTATCCAATTACAAAACAGATCCTGACTTCAATCCCAGGTCCTCTGCCAGCCCCAGTCGCTATGTGACTCAAGAAAATATCCTATCACACTGGTATTTTTAAATACAGATTATGTATAGAACCAGTCAAGATTGCCATTAATCAACTTTTTACCCAAATTATAATTTTTATATTTTAATCACAAACCTAAATACCATATAAGATGCTAATTCTTAGGTTTTTGTAAGTATTTAATTTTTAAAAATTAAATAAAAAATATAACACCTAATTTCCCCCTAATTAATTTGATGAATTTCAAACTTTTTGACCAAATCAAAAAAAAAAATAGATAAAAATTGGTTGTAATTGTTAGGGGTGTTCGCGGTCCAGTTTGGGCGGTTTAACCTCTTAGACCATAAACCAAACCATAATGGTGGTTTGTAAAATTTTCAAACCAAGCGGTTTGACATCAAGTGTCCAGACCGGTCAAATCAGACCACGAAAAGACGGTATGGTCTGATCGGTTTAGACGGTTTGGGCCTTTAATGGACTTTAAATGCTAAACTTAAAAAAACACATATAATTTATAATTTTAGATTAAATATCCATTTTGATTATGTTAGATGTTAGGCTTTATGTTGGACTTAAGAATATATTTGAACCATAGCCCATATAAGTTAAAAATCGGGCTTGCTAATTTTAAAATAAATAATTAAATAATATATATATATATATATATATATATATACATTATATTTGGCGGTTGGTTTGGTCCAAACCGTCCAAAAAATGTTTCAAACCACAGACCGGACCGGATCGTCCGGTTTTACCATTTTCCAAACCAAACCAAACCGCCAGACCATTCAAACCGTCAAAAACAGTCCGGTTTAACTTGGTTCGGCCGATTTAAGTGGTCCAACAGTTTTTTTTAACACCCCTAGTTATTTTCAATGTAATCTTTAAAATGTCATATTTTTGGCTTCACATAAAAATAAAAATATAATTTTAAATAAAAAATAATTTTAAATTTTTGATGGCCCAATAAAAAATTGACGGCAAGTTTAATTTTCTTACAAATAAACCCAATATGAAATTAAATGATAGTTAAAGGAGGTATTTTGTAAATATTTTAGGGTATAAATAGGATACGAAGCTGTTGACAAAAAATTCAAAGATCGGAGAGAGAAAGGAACGTTGAACACTCGTTCCCTCTCCTGCGGCCGTCGATATCATCCGCAGGTGGTTGGTGTCTTCGCCGCCGGTGACCTACGGATGATCTCCGGCGTCAGGGATTCCGCATCATCATCGTCGTCTCCGTCATAACGCAGAGTGACAAATATCGATTCGAGTTTCTTCGTTTGCATCGATTCAATATTTATTTAGAGAAGAAAGGGAGAAAGGCGGAAGCGTAAAAATGTCATTGAATTCGACCACTATGCATAAACAGAACAAAATTAAACGATCGGATCTGGTGGACCAGCTACGGGATCATCAAGTTCGTTCGAAATATAATTGGGCCTCCGTCTCCTACTTCTCCTCCAATGCTAATCTTTCTTCTTCTTATTCCAGGTATCATTTCCGTTCGTCTAATTCATATGGTTGGGCATCTTAATTTTGAAATGATTGTTTTCGTGTTCTTAGGGTTTGAATTTATAGTTAGAAATTTGGTATCTTCCTGCAATTTTTATATATAATTGTGTGTGTTAGGTCAATTCATTGATTCCTTTATGAGTTGGAAAGTTGTAACAAAATTGGCAACTAAATTAAGAAGCTATAAATAGAAAAATTGTGGTGATAATTGACTAACAAAATTGTCTCGTATATCTTTTCCCAATAAATGTAGATATGGTTTTGGTATCATTTTATTGGTATAATTTCGTTTTTTCATGACATATTCTTGTTAAGTTGTTGGTGTGATCTATTAGGATTAGGTAGTTGTGCTTTTCTGGCATATGCCGTATGATTCTTTATGGAACTACGGTTGTAGTTTGTGATAGACACGTTACTTGATACAACTTGGGTTGTACCATCCAATGGGGGCGATACCTGAAATAGGATTCGGCTATTTAATCAAATCTGTCATCCAAATTGACCGATTTTGCTCATGACTAATGATTTTGGCTTCTCTAGCACCTACACATCTTGTTAGATATTTAGACATAGGTTTGATTTTGATATCATATGACAGCCTTTTAAGCAGATATCGGATTTTATCTCAAGTTATGGAGTTTGGGATGTCTAAAAACATAAGCAAGGAGATAATAGAAGCTTTAGTAACAGATTTTTAAGTATCTTCTTGTACATTATCCATGATTAGAAGCTTTAGTTACAGAAAAGCTTGCGAGGAATAAACACTAGAAAAAGTGGAAAGTAGAAGAGTGCACAAAAGCATTGTGACAACTTGAATTTGAAATCAGTAAGAATGGCCATTCAAAAAGAGACCAAACCTCTTTTTTGAGCTTCTTCTACATTTTTTCGTAGAAACAGCGATTACTATTCCCTCACCTGCCATGATGTGTGTGCCATCTTTCTTCTTTGGATAAAGGGGACGGGACCCCAGGCGTAATCATTTGAAACAACAAGAAACGGTTTCAACTTTAGAACGGGCACACCGATCATGAAATGCATCCTCAAAACATGCTTTAGGAACATAGCAATCGAAGGCGTAGTACTGAAACCTAGTACGTTTACAACGAGCAAAAATCTCAACCGAAATATCACATGAAAATGAACAAAAATGAAGGCATTCCTAAGAATATTTCTAGTGCGATCCGTCACATAATTGCTTTAAAGAAACAACTCCTATTTTCTACAGTTTTCTTAAGATTGGTGATTGGTATTCCCTCATCCTCCGTGCTGTGTCTAACTCACGCCATCTTTCTTTTACCTCGATGCAGGATGGATATGATGATGTTTGTATTATGGGAACTTCTGATCCTAGCTTTTATCGTTTCCTCGGCCGTTTCATTATATTTAACACACTGGAGGCTCACTTTAACCTTAGCTATCATCACATTGTTACTGCTGTTATGTTTGAAGGTAACCAAGCAAGCAAAATTGAACCGGAAAAACAAGCGGAGAATGCTTCTTCCTTTATCAATGTAGAAAAAGTTTCCACCTTTGTCAACAATTCTTCACCATTTATGGTCCATATCCGGGTCTTGTTCTTCCCGGTTTACAATTGCAGTTGAATTCCGGCATTCAACAATGTCTTCATTGAGTATGGTTCAAACCAGTTCGAACCACCGGTTCTTAATCAGTCTGCGGTCTGTCAGATTGGGACCGGTTTGACCAAACCAGATAATTTAGGACCATACCCATCTTTAGTTTGAGATTTGAAGTTTGTGATGTTTACAGGTAAAGCTTGGATGTTGTAGGCTATGTGCACTTGTAAATTATATGCCTTCAGGAGTTGAAATTTAATTAATCCCATTTTTATGCTGGAAGTTTGCATCCCCAGTTCTTGGAATATAATTCAAATCGACCTATTTGCGTTATTCGTTTGCCAAAAGAGGATCAAATATGAAATTTAAAACAGAGTTTTGCAGGGGTATTCTCTTTTGCCGGAAACTAGGGCCGATCGAGGGTTTTTTGTGTCAACGGCAAAAATATCGTTTAAGTGTCTTAGGGGACGTTTACCAAACACTTACCTGGTAAGCACTTACCACATGAACATGGCAAGGACCTATAAGAATACATGGATAATCTGTTACTGATTTAAATTAACCACCAACTTTTGTGACGGTTTTGTAATAAATTGGTTCTTTAGTGACGGATTAGAAGTTCGTAGGCAAAAGTCTTCGATTGGTAGTGAATAGCTAAAATCAAAGCCTTTGATGAAAAAAATCATGTAAAAAAATATTTTTATATCAGTTCTTACATGTTTGTAATTTTTTTATGTTTTTCATTTGATTATCGTCCTAAAACCACATTACTACCTAAATAAACATAACATCAAAGCAAAGTAGCAGATATGGAAAAAAAAAAAAACAACCGTAGAAAATTATTTTCTAAAGGGTGTTCTATACCATGTTCAGACTAGGGGTGTAAATGATGCGAGTTGAGCTCGAGTATCACTATACTCGACTCGAATTCAAAACCCAAATTTCAAGCTCGAACTTGACTCGAAAACTCACGAGTAGTAAAATTCAAAGATTGACTCGAATTCGAACTCGAATCAAGCTCGAAGTAAGCTCAAATCAAGCTCAAACTCGAGCTTGAATCAAACTCAAATCAAGCTTGAATTCAAACTCGAATCAAGCTTGAACTCAAACTCGAATCAAGCTTGAACTCAAACTCGAATCAAGTTCGAACCGAGCTCACTCATTGAAATTTATGAAATTTTAGGGTCTTTCTGCTTATAAATTTTAGAACTTGAAGGTGTTTTATTAGTTTTTATAAAATCAAAGGGATCAACTTCAACTTTATCATCAAAAAGACAAAGTTAGAAATTTCATTCAACCCCCTTTCTTTTTATAACATCTTTTTTTTCTTCCTTTACTATCTCTCTTTCAATATGAGACAATTTCACTAACTTTTTTTTATAGTTTTTCTTTGTCTTTTTTTTTATTGTGATTTTAATAAAAAATAATTGATTAATTTTTATAATTAAAAAATGCATAATTTTGTTTAAGTATCTAAAAATATAAGACATTTTTATTATTTATATTTTAAAAATTTTATCATAAAAACTGATTATATTTTAAAACTAATTATATATAAAATAATCGAGTATCTCACGAGCTTTTCGAGTCAAGTATTGGATAGCCTGACTCGACTCGTTAATAGTCGAGTCGAGCTCGAGTTCGAGTCGAGCCTATTCGAGTCGAGTGTTGACCGAGCTTTAACCGAGTCGATCTCGAGTAGCTCGCGAGTTATCTCGTATCGTTTACACCCCTAGTTCAGACTAATCTCAAGAAATCGCGACACGTAAGACATCTAACTCTTAATAAGCACAGTGGTCATAATTGTTAGTAACGACCAGAATAACGATCTGGACAGATGGGATATTCCACCATTAACACATTCTTATCGGATGCAAGAACTATGTGCATAAAACTGAATGGAGTTCTGAATAAAAACTGCAGTAAATTGCATGCTGGAAATGAATCAAAAGATTGAATCTAATGCAAACAATCTAGAAATTAGTGTTGGTAGATGAACAACGGGGTGGTTTTCTGAAATCACAATTGCTTGTATTCTTGTTTGGATCGTGTATGTCACTTTCCGAATCAGATATTTCGACCCTATAAGCCTTGAGTTGCACGAAATCTGAATATGGGATAATCCAAGAAGGAACAATCTAATTTCATGGGCGCAGAAATTAGATTATATTACTGTTGGTTTTGAATATATGAATCCTTAGATTCGAGAGCCAAAAACGAGGGTTATATCCAGAAATTAGATAAGACCCAAGGAACTAACAACAGTTAAGAACCAAAAACATACCGTTAGGAACTAACAATACGTTAAGAACCAAACGAATCAGTTCCAACAAGCTTTACTGAGGTTTTGTGTTTTCCCAATTCCGCTTTTACTCTTTTCCCTTCACGTCTTCTTTCGATCCAAACAAATCATCAAACGCATGAACCACCTTCAACGTCATGCGGAATCTACACAAAAACATACCAAAAACGTAAGAACTCTTCTCAAATTCCAATCGTGATCGTAAAAGATTAATAAAAAGTACATGAAAAAGCTAAACGACGTATTAAATGCTAAATAAGAATACAACTAGACAAAACATGAGTTAGATGCATAAACATCGAGCGTAAGCATGCACTAGGGGAGGTCCTTTTCAATTAAATCCATAACTTCCTGACATGTTAAAGGAAAAAAATGACTTCACATTAATAACCATTTTTGAGTATTTGGATAAACAACTTATACCGGTGCCAAACCGGTAATAAGGAGTTTTTGAAGAAGTTAAACCCTTCTGACTTATAAGAAGTTGATAAGTGCTTTTATACAAAAGCATAAGTTGTTTCAAATAAGCAAAATCCCAAACACCCCTAATCATGCCTTCTATACTCTATAGGATCTGAATAGATGAAATTTTTGCCATTTAATTCAATCACTTGCTGACACAACCCTAATAATTTATCGGGTACATGATCAAAAGTAAGATTTAGGGGGTGTTCGGGATTGCTTATAAAAACAACTTGTTGACTTATTCCGTTGTGACACCGGTAATAAGCACTTTTGAGTGTTTGGATAAACAACTTATACCAGTAATAAAAAGTTTTTGAAGAAGTTGAACACTTCTGACTTATAATAAGTTGATAAATGCTTAGTTATCATACATTTAAGTTATTATGAAAGAGTCTCAAACTTTTGGACTCAAAGATTACATACTATATGAGTATACACATACACCTCTCTAATTGGAGAGTATGTTGAGTAACAAAACCCTAGTTCTTATCAACCTCTTGAAGATACACTCCAATTCCACCTCCAAATCTTCCACAGCACTCTCGACAGCCTCCAATCTCTCAATCGCTCGTCGTAAACCATGCACGTCACACTTCTCCCACGGGCTCAAGCTATTCACCCGCATAAGCTTCGCCTTAGCCGCAACAAGCCCGTTACAGTTCATCGATTTCCTGATTTTAGGGTTAGGGTTAGGGTTGGGGCTTGGCATGGACATAAGTAACATGAGCGACTCCAGAAGTGAAATGATGGTTTCTCTAACCTCACCCAACACATTGGCTACAACCATTAGGTTATCGTCTGCCAACGCATCGTAGCCGTGGCTCACGGTTGTGTTCTTGGTCAGTTTTAGTGATTTTAGACGCTTTAACATTTGTTTCTTCAAATCCTTTCTGTGAAGATGGTAAGCCGAAAACTTCTTCTCAGCGGAAGCGGTTTCACCGAGAGTGATTCGATGGAACGTGGACTGTAACTCTTGGATGTGAGCCTTGACGAGAAAGAGTATGTCTTTGGTTCTCCCACAAGAATCCAACATCTTCAAAGACGATTCGGAGACCTTTTGGACACAGGTCTGGTCTTGGTGGTGGTCGGAGAGAGCTCGTTTAAGGGTCGGTGAACGAAGCAGATCGTTTGCGGAATCATGCAAGTCTCTTAGAGAATAGAAATTCAAGATCGCCATAGTTGATGAGAGTTTGAGATTGAAATCTTGAGTTTATCTGTAAGCTTTGATTTGATATGATGGTAGCTGCTGAATGAATCCCTGTTTTCATATGTATATATAGGAGTTGGATTAAGTTCATGATTCATAGAAAAGTGTATGATTTTGGATTCGATCTCAGATATGGAAGGAAATAGGGTACGAAGGTGTACTTTTTGATCTGTACGTTGATGACAAATTGGCAACAGATAGATTCTCAGCAAGTTTGTCTCCTCGAAACTTCCACGAAATATATACAAAAACTTATGTTGTAAATGAATATGGTAGATAATTAGTTATATATATATATATATATATATATATATATATGTAATATGTATAGAGAGAGAGAGGGGAAGGTGTGGGAAAAGTTCACTGGGAACCAAAAATTGATTAAGAACTCGGAAACTAGCTGCAATGTGTCACGTGTTATTTTTCGAAATGAATATTCACCATGAATAACATAATCATGATGGGTATATATGAAAGTATCAATAATCATGAATCATACATTGATGATAGATATCGACGTCTTATTCATTATGAAGCTTACATTTATGATAAATATGTTACAATATTCACGATGAATAACCCATACACATTCCAGATAAATATCATATATCATGTTGAGAACAGTTTTCAAATTTCTCATCAATTTTAAGCCGTTTCTCTCTCTCTCTCTCTCTCTCTCTCTCTCTTTATATATATATATATATATATATATATATGAGCGATCAAATGAAAACCACCCTCATTTGTACAAACCGTACTCATACGTCGATTTCATTTTTAATCTTATGAAATTTTTTCATGAAATTGTTTAATCTTGTGAAATTGTTTCATATAATATTTTTTTTGATGAATTTGTTTCATATATGGTTATGAAATTGTTTCATATAATATTTAATGAAATTTTAATGAAACTGTTTCATGTATTTCTCTAAAATTAAAATAATGAAGATGATAATATCCATGATTAACACCCTCCACAATAAAAATGGTTAATCAACCTCTCATAATTACAATGAACAAAATGAAAAATTATGATTGGTTGAATGAGGTTTTCACGGTTTGTACAAATTGAGTGGTTTTTATTTGAACGCTCCTATATATATATATATATATATGGGCTCATTCAAGGGAGAACTGACTAGTTTATGGTAACCATGAGATCCAATCTCAACCACAAATCAATAAATAAATTATGAAATTTATAATTTTAGTAATTTTTAATTAAAATTTTAATGCAAAGACATTTTAGGTATTTTCTCTGCTCTCTTCTCTCTCCGTCCCCGTCTTCTGTCCTCCGGTGATTACCACAGTGTGATATTCAAGTACATATAAGATGCATTACATTCCACTGTATATATATATATATATATATATATATATATATATATATTATAGACTTGGGATTATGTGAGACCAAGAGTTTTTCGTGAGACCCGTAAGATCAATTCTCAACTCTTGGATTAGATCAACATTTGATTGTTCATAATCACAAAATTGCCACGAGACTTTTCAATAATCACAAAATTGCTACCGTGCAACTTTAGATCATTAGATCATTAGCTTATAAAGTTGATCAATGAACATAAATTGGTCTTACGGGTCTCACGAAAAACCCTTGGTCTCACGTGAACCCAACCCTATATATATATAGGTGAGCGTTCAAATAAAAACCACACCATTTGTAAAAACGTGAAAACCTCATTCAACCGATCATAATTTTTCATTTTTTTGTAATTATGAGAGGTTGATTAACCATTTTTATTGTGAAGGGTGTTAATCATGGATATTATCATCTTCATTATTTTAATTTTAGAGAAATACATGAAACAGTTTCATTAAAATTTCATTAAATATTATATGAAACAATTTCATAACCATATATGAAACAAATTCATCAAAAAAAGTATTATATGAAACAATTTCATAACCATATATGAAACAAATTCATCAAAAAAAGTATTATATGAAATAATTTCATAAGATTAAATAATGAAATCGACGTATGAAAATGGTTTGTACGATTTTTACAAATGTGGATGATTTTTATTTGAACGCTCCCATATATATATATATATATATATATATATATAAAAAAGAGAGAGAGAGAGATGGTTTAATTTGAAAAAAGATTTGTGAAAAGATTCGTCAAGGGGGACAGCGATAATAATAAATGGATAGTTGTTTGCAGCAGAGGATAAGGTGTGTGCATGCGTGCATGTGAGAATTATTTGAGGCAAATGGAGACCATAACATTATAATTAGGGGGGATGCATGGTTTATGGCCAGGTGTTCTGAGGGTGTACTAGTTTTTTTTACAAACGTAACCAGATGCATGCAATTTCGAATATTCATGCATCATGTATCTAAGCTAACGTCAAAGGTCGCAAAATAGATGCATGAGATAGCCAAAGGTCCAAATTTGGACCATATAGGACTATCGTAACCGCTCACGAATCGAATTTTGAAGGCCTTGCTTTCTGCAGAAGCAACAACGGACTTTTAAGATACAAGTTTGTGCCCTCGTTAAGCGATCGGTCCAGGAAAGTTGGGCCCAGATTCCGTATTTTTTGGTGTTGTTAGGTCCAAGCATTTGAAGACTAAACAAATGACCGGTTTTGTGCATCTCTAGGTTGAGTAAAAGCGTCTTCAACGGTTTCTTCATATATATATTCGTCAAAATATAGAAGTAGAATTGAAAATCTACAAATATATATATATATATATATATATATATAGAGAGAGAGAGAGAGAGAGAGAGCGAGAGAGAGAGGGGGGTTCAAACAAAAACGCTAGTTATTTAAGAAAACAAGAAAAATGTCGTTAATGTATAAAATCACATGTGATTTTAAATTATCGTCAAAAAATGGAAACGAACCATTTGTAAAAGTTACGAAACTACCCCTATATCTTCCGCGCATACCCTGAATTTGCTTCATGTGTTTCTTTAATCCTTTTATTCCTAAATAGTGAAAATGGTTGTCAAAGGAGATTTTGTTTACCTCTTAATAGTTCCATTAAGAGGCAACATTTGAATTGTTAAGAAGTGAATCTTGTTTGGCAAAATAAAAAAGTATGCCTTTTAATGGTGCTAAACCCTCTGAATGATTTTATATCTTGTATCTCCCTTAGCCATTAAAAGCCCTAATTTCACTGTACACAATTAGCAAACAATTATATTTCATTTTGTACTATATCGTGAGAGTCTCTTAATCATTCTGACCACTTGATCATTCTGCACCAAACCATTCAGTAATTACCAACGAGTCCCTTACTGATTATGATAATATATGCCTCTCCATAAACCTGCAAAATGGTACATAACTGTGTGTCTGTGTTCACTTTTGGCTGATTGAGTTTCATGTTGGATCTTTCTTAATGCTGAATGAGATTTCATTTCTGTCTGTAGGTTTGCAGGCATAGCTTATTGAACAAGCACTCCTCCTTTTTCTAGGTTGTCACCCATGATACCAGCTTATTCTGATGCTGAAGCAGTAGGTGTACATCTATCTATCGATGGCGACGATGATGAATCGCACAAGTTCCGTTGTACGTCATCCAAAAGAGAATTCTTTCTCAAGTTTCCATTTGGCTATAGGGTTCGATCTTCGCACTCTTTTAGATCACTTTCATTCAGATTCTTCTTCGGATTGTGAATTAGATGACACTTGAACGTGTTTGATAGAACGACTCAGAGACGATGTCTTCTATCGTTCAAACGTTTACTCATACATTAAGGTAAAAGTTCAACATTATAGCTTATTTTACCGGGTATGATTTGGTGCATCCAAACAGTAGCGTATGTAACAATTTACCTACTAAACACTGACTGGGTAAGAGTCATCGCCCTCTTTATCGGATAAGACTCTTGGTCATTGTCTTGACTCTTACAGGGTAGGACTTGTCGTCTTCCTTATTAGCTAAGATTTTAATTGTGTTGGTATCTTGTGGTTTAAACTTTAAAAGTAACACTTCATTAATGTCTGGTGTTGTTTTTATTTACCGGTGGTATTAAAACGTTGATCTAAACCACAAGAGTGGTGCCTGATTGGTTTGAACTTGGCTTCAAAGGTCAAAAGTACCCTAGGTTCAAATCCGAGGAGGAATAAAAATCCCCTTGTGGCTACGAAGGTTCAAATGCGGTGACTCGGGGCTATCTGCAAAGCAGGTGGTCGTCCTGGGATTAGTCGGCTCGCATAGCGGTTAGATATCCAGGTTAATAAAAAAAACGTTGATCTAATCATCTATTAGTTTTTATTTGACTAAGGTCATATATATCAAATAAAACTCACTAAAACATTTTAAGCGTCAAAATATTATTATATACTTATTACTGTATTTGAAAAGCTGTTTGTTTACCTCTTAATAGTTCTGTTAGGAGACCGTCTCTGAATCGCTAAGAGGTGAATCTTGTTTGTTTAAAAAAGTCTATCTCTTATTAGTTCTAAAATTCTCTGAATAATTTTGTATCTTAGGGTCTCCCTTAACCATTGAGCACCCTATTTTCATTTTAAATAATTACCAACCCATTATATTTCATTTTCCACTATACTATAAAAGTCTCTTAACCATTCTGACTACTTAATCATTCTGCATCAAACCTTTTAGCAACTGTCTAACAGCCACTAACTCATAACCAAATGATAAACATATTAAAATATAAGACAAGTATCGAGTCCTACCAACATGACAAAATACTTCGTATAAAATCACTACCGACAGAAAACTATTTCACTCTTTTAAAACCATATAAATTCATAAAATACAATTAAAAAAAACTGAAATATATAAAAATATAACTTAAATTAACATAAATACATGTCCATCTATCAAAACATGTACCACCAACCAGGCTGTTTGATGTTGTAGTAATGCAGACAAATGCTTATAAAATAATTGGCCAAAATAATACATGAAATCCTACGTTAATAATGAATGGAGTATTATTTAACCTTAAAAAATCGAATACATCAAAGGGCGTTTGGCCTAGCGGTATGTG